TTGAAAAAATATATATATTCTACAGTATCGTCGCAAAATGAGAATTCTCTTCTTCTATTTTGACAGAGGGGTTAGGAAACACCCTGTATAAAATAAATCTTCATGGGTAATTATTGTGATCGTCTTCATATATTTTTATAATTATTCGATTTTAGCGATTTTCTGATTGGTTTTCAAACTGGTAAATTCAGATTTTAATGTGTGCCTTTTTGGCAACACTGCTTCTCGGATCGCGATAATGGTCGGGGTCGGATTTTATAAGGGAAAAAACGGGTTGAAGTCTTAAAATATTCATTGGTTCGAAGAAGCAATCGAAAGGCAATCTTTGAGAATGTTGTTTTTCTGTGGATGTCCCTGTATGTAATTGAGAAAAAAAAATTGGCTCAGATTCCGTATTGGGAACTATACGAATTCCATTTCTTGATAGATCAGTGTGGATCGAAAGTGGGGGTCTAGAGGGGGGGTTACAGGCTGCAAAAACCATTTTGAGGATATTGTGTTATCCAAGTTGGTGGCCAAACTTCGAGGAGTAATTTTTTCAATAGATTCTAAGACGAAAATTTTATGTAGGTTCGGAATTGCATACGTAATTTTCAAGACACAGAGTGTCAAACTTGCTTATGAAAATTTAATTTACGTAAATTTATTTCTGGCTTATAATATATGCCAATATGCCTACACTACATTTTTATGAAATGTGACATTCTCGTCTGAGAATCATACATATGAAGCTTGTCAACATATACAGAACTACAGGACAGGGTCTCTGTATATTCTGCCCCCACCTCTACAGCGCTCTAGTTATTTATACAGGGTGACATAGAAAAAAGTACATTGCGTAGTGCCAGAAAATAGAGGACACTAAAATAAGGAAAAAAGTTTCTATGAACATGGGTCCGCAAGGCCTCCGGTTAAAAGATACGGGGTGTTGAATTTTAATTTTTTCAAGAATGGAAAGATGTATTGAAGTACAAGGGCAACAATTTGAACATCTTCTAAAAACTCAATGTTTTGTTCTAATCAATCATATTTTTCATCATACCATTAAAATGTAATTGTTTTGCAAGAGTTACTTTGGCGCTTTTTGAATAATTTGCGTGTATTGTCGACTTTTAGATGCATTTGTACTGGGACCATTGCTTCTAATAGCAACTTGGACAAGGTATACCTTTCTTAAGTATAAAAGAAGGGTTAACAAATTTTTTCCGTCAAAAATGACAAACAGTGTATAGCAAAAAAGTTACGACCGATTCAATAGGGATGGAACCCTGTATGTAGCGCCCTCTATCAGTCATCCCAAAACTGAGATCATATTTGAATTTAGCATGATAGAAAACCCCTGTATACCACATTTTATCCATTTCTTGCGAAGGCCTTGCGGACCCATGTTCATAGGAACTTTTTTTCTTATTTTAGTATTCTCTATTGTGTGGCACTATGCAATGTACTTTTTAGCATGTCACCCTGTGTATCAAGGGAGCAAAGATATCCATTCCCTCCCAGGTGTGAATTTTGATGCCCGACGCGAAGCTGAGAGCATTAAACACACATGGGGAAATGAACCTTTGTTCCCAAGATATATTATACAGGGTGGAGACTTTAACTGGAATAAATTTGCTACTGGGGAAGACACGTCAACGTTCAACTGTATATACCTACATTTGGCGAGCAATATGGAGAATATATCCCTTCAGGGGTAGCTGGAATCAACCCCAACATGTTTTTTTCAACCGCAACCCTATATATGACTTGCGACCCCTCATTGGAAAGCTGGTTGGAAGAGGAATCAACCGTACTGATCATATCTCAGTTTGCAGTACGTTTGGGAGTCGCATAAAATCAAAATATAATTTCGAAGTACAATATATTTTCAACATACTTTCATGAAAATTTCGACTTTTAGTAACAGTGATATCGGGCATTTCCACGAGTTTGCAATAACAATTCGTTTCGAACTGTGAATACGGCAAAAAACTAGATTTGTTTTTGCGACTCTATATAAAATACAATAGCAGATGGCAGTTGTGGCAAAGAATTGCCATAAATTGTTCAACAAACATTTTGAGCGACTGATACGTTGAAAAAGAATTGAATTTTAAAATATCATTTTAATTTTATGCAACCTTTGAACGTATCAAACCTGAAATCTGACTAGTACGCTGGATTGCCATCTTCACCAGCTTCTCAATGAGGGGTCACAAGCCATATGGTAACATAAGAAAAAATCATGTTGAGGGTGGTTTCAGCTACCCTTGGAGGGATATATTTTCGACATCGCTTGCAAAAGGTGGTTAATACATTAAATCGTTGACGTATGTAGGCAATTCTAAGAGAAAATATTTACTTCCCCGCTTACGAATTTATTCCAGTTAAAGTCTCCACACTATATACAGAGAAGTGCACAAAAAAGGCCAGGACTGTAACTTTTGAATAAATCATTTGAAAAAGGGGTTTTGAAAATTGGTGGGCAACTAGTATACCAAATCGCTCATCGATTGATGAAACAATGTTTGCCTATCACTTCCGTTTTTACTGGAGACGACCCCAACTTTTGATTTTTAAATGAGACACCCTGTATTGTATTCCATAATCGGTTAGGATTATCATGACGAATTCAACGATACCGGGTTTGATAGGGTTATTTCAAAAGATTACGCAGATATTCGCGTTCCAAGTTGTCAATGAGTGTGACAGAGAGAGAAGTTTTGATATTGTGAAGTCACACCCATCGGGCATATGGAAACTTCGAATACAAATATCTTTGTAATCGTTTGAAATAACCCTATCAAACCCGGTATCGTTGAATTCGTCATGATAATCCCTAACCGATTATGGAATACAATACAGGGTGTTTCATTCGAAAATCAAAAGTTGGGGTTTGGGGTCGTTTCCGGTCACTGGAAGTGATAGAAGATTTGTATTTGTGGATTTTCGGGGTTGGAGATTATGATTCTTTTGTCAAAATTGGAGAATTCAAGACGCCGGATCCAATATGGTGGACGAGTTTTGTAATCATATGATCCGATTCTATTGAAAGTTGGTATCTGGGGGTCAACGAGGTCGGAGATTAGGATTCTTTCGTCAAATTGGGGTACTTACAAAAATATAAGAACACTAAAAAACACGCTTTTATAGTTAGCCGAACTAAAAAATATAAAATGAATAGTAATTTAAAAAGCTAAAGAAACACCCTTTTATAAATAGCCAAACTGAGAAGTAGAAAAAAAAAAGTGTGCTGATAAATTTGGGACAAACTATGGTTAGGAAGAGGATACGAAGGGAACTATAAGCCATATCAAATCGTGATGATTAAAACTTGTTAAAACCGAGATTAAAACTGTATGTTACTCTATTTACCTTATTGATAGAGTATTCTGAAAAAAATCCTTCGAAGGTCTACTTAGTGACAGCTAACAATTCGGCAAACTTCTTATCATAACAATATTTATTGGAATGTTGAATGGAAATAATCTCGGAAATAATTACAAATTGTTTATCAAGCCAGACTCTCACATCCAAGTATAGAGATTAGAAAGTGAAGTCCCACGCAAAAATCATCCAAATATTCCAAATAAATATGAAACAACATTATATACTGGGTGATTACCTACGTTAGTCCACACATTAGAAGTTTTCCAACTTTGCAAAATTGCTATATAATGTTATAATCGATCATTCCCAATCTACCTGAAATATATTTAGTCCTCCTGTTATACAGGATGCATCGAAAGTCGCCACCAACATTCCTATTTCAAATAGACACCTAAATTTTTTTTACGTGGTTCGATTGGCCATCTCATTCTTCTGAGTTTAGAAAACCTAATTTATGCCACTTATCTATCATGCACAGTTTTCGAGATATATCGGTTTCTCTGAAAATAATTATCGTCGTAGAAGTTTACGAACCAAGAAGATAGCACAATGTCATTCATAGAACGTTCATAGGATATTCTTCGAGAATACTTGAATATTCTTAAAATATTCTATTCTAAAATGAATAGCAAGATGACAACACTGAATTAGTGAGATAATCAGCATTGATGCTATAGAATAATAGGTTATGTCAGGGTAAACATTATGGATATTGACACAAGAATAGGAACATCAATATCATTCATTTTGAAAGGATTCTGAATATTCAAGAATAATATTCTCAGAACAATCAAAGTGAATATTCTGAGAATATGTCAAATTGAATGTTCATAGAATATTCGCTGTAGGATGAGAATATTCTATGATCATTCTGAGAACATTCTATAAGAATATTTTGAAACAAGTATATTTGAACGTTGTCGGAATATTCATAGAATATTCTGTGCTGTCTGGGAAAACATTATCTCGCGAGTTATCTCGCAAACCGTTCAAAATTTAGCAGTTATATCTGGAAGTTCAGAGCACGGGAGAGTTTTGAATGTCTCATTTGAGAATGACCCAAAACTCAACTTCTTCAAATTATAAATACTTACCTACTATTTCTTGTGACACCATTATGAAAGATAATTTAATTTAAGGATGAGTAAGTTATTCAATGAAACATTTTTCTTCGTGTATACGGTGGTGGACCATTGAACATCACATTAGTTCCTGTTCAATCGGAAATGGAAATGGCAATTTTTATAGGAATCAAGAAAACTTTGTTATTTTGAATAGAACATATCGCAGTATATTTTTAACACAACATGAAACTCTATTTTCAAGCTCTCCAAAAATATAATATGTTCCACTTTCCGCGGAAAAATTAATATGTCACGGTGTATATCCATGTCAATTTTCTTATTATCTAATAATAGTGATGAATGAATGTATGAGCATAATCCCTACGGGTGAAAATTATTTTGACCTCCCGCTGATTTCAAATTAATAATTTTGTTTTCTAACATGAGGAAGCAAAACACTACCCACTTAAAACCAGATAGAAAAATTTTTAATTCTTCTAAAATTAATAGAAGAATCTAGATAATTTTTTATATCTTATATGGAATGAAAAAAAAAATACTCACCACCCTCGATTTCCCCTATCTTTATGTACAGCTACTGTGAACCCAAACATAGATCCATTGGTATTGAATTCATAAACAGCAAAGTTCTCTTGGTCGATATTGAAACAAGTCACTAATATCACATTACTCACTAGAAACGCACATAAAATCAATTTGCACTCACACATGATTCTGAATTGCGAACACTTAACACTTTAAAAAAACTATTTTTGGATTGGATATATTCCCGAAATATTTCCAAAATTGTCGTTATCGAAATCGCATCGTTTAAAATAATCCGCACTCGTGAAATAGTTGGTCTATTGTCGATATATTCGTCAGTTTGTTAATGTTGAAAAGGCTTGATTAAATATTCATTTTCAAAGTATAGCGCGTTTTGTCATCTATGTTGCGCTAGAAGAGACTGAACCGTCGTCCATATAATGTTCAAATGTAATCTCAGTGAGCGCCAAGCTCAAAAACAGTATAACTGATCGCACTGACATCTAGTGCTATAATGCTCAACCATCACCTAGCTTACAGATCGCTGCTTCTTGTAATACATACATCTCTAACGTTTCTTCTTAGATGACTCTACAGTACAGGCAGAAGAGCAAGGTTTTGTTTTTCAGTTTTTTTAATAGGTTGATGATCTAAAGAAATGAACGTGGAACGTGTAAACAGAAACCCTTTGCTGAAACCAAACCTGAAATTCAATAAATGAACTATTCTTCTCTAGAAGTGTGTGTCATAACGTGCCTTCTATAGTTTCGAATCAAAGTCGTATATGAAAATACTGGATTGAAATTGTAGGTTAGACTACAGTTAGGTAGTTTTGTTTGTTCAAGGTTTCGATGTTGTTAATTTGAAATATTATGATACTAGTTGATTGAAGTAGGTAGGTAGTTTATTGTTCAACATGGATAAGAAAGCCGCATCTCAATTCAAATTTTTGGATCGACCAAAATGTGTTCCGTGCGCATGTGCTCGTCGTTTGTTTTTGTGATTATTCTGCCGAAACTGGCGGGACCAGGGTTGCCAATTTGTGAGTTATAACTCACATTTGTGAGTTATTTCAGGGACTGTGAGTGATTTTGTGAGTTGATGGCCAATTGTGAGTTATTTGTGAGTTATCTGAGGTCAGTGACATTTGAGTCGGAAATCCACGTGTTAGAGACAGTAATTTATTTTTTCATTCATTTCTCGTTCATTCGAAAATGTACGCGCCGCCACTGAAACTTTAACGTTCATGAACAGGAAAAATAGAAGAAGACAGTGACAGGACGAACAGGGTGACAAGTGACAGTCTGACAGCACAGCTGACAGTATGACTAGTATGACGTATGACAGTAAGACAGTATACGAGATACCTGCAGTGCTTGATGTGCTGTGCATTTGATTAATTTTTTATTTTTTTTACAAATGTGAACAATGTGATAATAATGTGAACTGTTCTGTTAATTTTTCATATATATATCATTATGTATATGTAGTCCTAGTTTGTTTTTATTGAGATGTGTATCTCAATTTTTATTCAATTCCAAATGTTTATATCAAATGTTTTTTTTTATGTTGGGATCATTTGGATATCATTAGGTTCTTGTTCATGTTTTGAGGAAGTTAACATGATTTTTTTGTTATTATTTTGAGATACATTGAATGAATAAACTTTTTTTTTTCCTGTTATTTGTTTCTATATTACTGTAAGAGGTTATTGTTATTAATGTAATTTTGTATTTTCGGCAATTTTCGGTCTCAAGCTCATGGAGTCAAGGAGCTGGCGATCTGTCACTGTCATCTGTCAAAACCCTGTCCTATTTTTTGACAGTTGAGAGTATTTGTGGCAGAAAAAGGCAGACGTTATAAGTTTGTTATCAAATTTTCCTTTATTTTGAAAAATCTGCCTTGATGTTGATATTTTGATCGTTGTGAGTTATTGTGAGTTATTTCACATTTTCTTGTGAGTAAATCATAGTACACCTGTTGGCAACCCTGGGCGGGACGCGAGTAGGCAGCTATAGTGGCGCGGGGTATTGTTATCTTCGAATTTCCTGAAATCCTCACACTTTATTCGTATACCTATTGTGAAGCAAAAATCAAATTTCCTCTACTTAACCTCGCTTTAATGTATTAATTTAGAAGAGTTTGTTATAGGAAAATGATTCTTCAGATATTATTGTTGGTTGGTGTGTCATCGGCTTTGGCTATAGGTAAGTTTTGATTTTAATTATTTCGATCTTCATTTCGTCCAACTATATATAGGTACCTATTCGAGACTGTCGGTACATACGTCTATGATACATACGTCTATGATACCTTCATAATCAGAGAAAATAATGCTTACATCTAGTGGCATATAAATCAATTAATGTTAGCTAGTTTCAAATTCCAGTCGTTGAGTGATAGAAGAAGCATGCAATCTGTGATATTTATATATCATATTGCAAATAATACGAAATATAGAAATTGTCTCCTGATAAACTATATTAGTCAAATAGTTCCAAAAATTAACTTAAGAATCTCGTGAGGAAATAAGACCAAGTTTCACACAGAAATATCTAGCTGCTCTCCCCTGAACTTCATGCTAGTGAAGAAGAAGTGATAGAAGAAAAACTGCTTCATCAATCAATGAGCAATTTGGTATACTTCCTACCCACCAATTTTCAAAACCCTATATCTAGAATGATTCAAAAGTTACAATCCTGGCCATTTTTTGTACTTTTCTCTGTATACTCCTACGAATATTTCTAGCTATATCTCTGAAATTTGAAACATCGAATATGCCGGAATATGCTCACTAGAGGACATTTTAGGAGTCATTTTTCATCTTCCGGTTTTCTGGAAATGACATTAACTTCTGTTTTTCAAATAGCACACCCTATACCTCAATTATTCCATAACCGGTTAGAGATTATTATTATAACGAATTGAAGGATACCTGGTTTGATTGGGTTATTTCAAAGGATTAGGAAAATATTCGCGTTCATATTTTTGATATGCTCAATGAGTGTGACAGAGAAAGTAGGTTCGACAGTGTGACAGAGAAAGTAGCTTCGACATTGCGCCGTAGTTCTGCACATTTCTGAATTGATATATTTTTTTGAAAGAAGGTCATTTAGGTCAAGTTGAGTTAGATTTTTGAATCAATGGCATATTACTCACGTACTCATAATGCCAACCTCATTCCTCTTCAATACAGAAAAAAGCGATGATGAGTTCTCATCGACTAAAATTATCCGGAAGTGTAATACCTCTCCATTCGGATTTTCCGGCGAGAAGTGCTACAGGGGGTTTACTATCGGCTAACAAAAGCCTCATAATACACATATGTAACATCCGTGGTCTGAGTAATAACATCAACGATGTCTATCGACACTTTCAGACTGAGGAGACAGACAAACGGGCCCTGACTGAGACACATGTCAATATTCTTCCACAAATACGACCTACATGCTATGTTCTGGGTATGGACTCCACACACGTTTCAGGTTCAACTCTATACGTCTATTCTAAAACGAATCTCTCATGTCATCAAGAGAAACCTTTAGAACCAAATAAGTTTGATTTTATGTGGTTTAAACTCCTTAGCCAGAAATAGCCTATAATAACTTTGTTGTCTCTACTGATCACCAAATGATCCATGCTATGAAGAGCTCTTCGTGTTCTTGCCCCTGATAAAGCTTGACCTAATTCACCAGAACCATCGAGAGAACCATCCATCAGCAGGAATTATCGTCCTGGGCGACCGTGGGCGACTTCAATATACACAACACTGCTTGGCTCGTACACTCCAACAAAACTGATAAAGCTGGGTGACAAGCCAAAGCTTTCGCCATCACTCCAGGCATAGAGCAGCTTATCAAGAAACCTACACGAATTCCCGATGTCAACAATCATTCATCCAACACACTCGACTAATTCCTCACTGATTATTCATTACCTTTCCTTAGATCATAGATGTACGAGCTCCACTTGGCAATTCTGATCACACACTCATCTCCACAAGCTGCCCATTCTTCATTCTATCATCTACTCCTGTGCCACCACGTCTTGTATGGCATGATAACTCAGAAGACTGGGACGGTCTCCGCATATTCTTCTCCGAGTTTCCTTGGCATAGAATATGCTTTGATTCTGAGGATCCTTCACAGTGTGCCGCGGAAATATCCGAGATCATCACGCTTGGAATGGACACATACATACCTTTGGTTCAACAAGAACTGTTCTAGAGCTGTTGCCTTGAAATAAACAGCCTACCATAGCTGTCGCTGTCGCAAAGACCCTTTCCTCGTGACTAGAATAGAATGTTGAAGCCAGGAATAACTGCAGCCAAACAATAGATGAATCAAAAGGATCATATAATGCCAAAATAAGATCGAAACTCATAGATTATCCTGATGTATCTTGTTCGTTTTGGTTCCTCGCTGAAGCAGACGGAAGGAATTTCACTAATAGTTCATTCCCACTACTCTCCAAAGCCGACGACACATCGCTAGAGAAAGCAACATTTTTGCAGAGATGTTCGCAGCAAACTCCTCCTTGGATTTCTAGGGAAGAATGCCGCCAGACATTCCACCCGTTGAAAGTCGAATGCCCAAGATCGTCTTCCGTCAATGCACTATCAGACGCTTTCCGCTCGGTCTCAAAACGAATAAGTCTAACGGTCCTGATGGAATTCCACCCATTATTCTCAGAAAGTCTGCACCAGAATTGACACCAGTTCTCTGCAAGCTATATGCCATCTCCCACAAGTCGGGAATTTTTTGATCTTGCTGGAAAAGAGTCCAACCAATCCCCAGAAGAGGAAACAAAAGCCTGCCCAACAACTATAGGCCAATTGCCCTGCTATCAGTCATCTCTAAAGTGATGGAGAAAGCCATCAACATTGAGCTCATCGAATATCTGGAAAGCTCAGGAATCATTGATGATAGACAATATGGCTTTCGCCACCGAAGATCTACTGAAGATTTACTTGCCTACTTCACCCATTTATTGCAAGCTTCGTAAGAAGAACATGGGGTATCTTGAGCTGTGGCGTTAGATATATCGAAGGCATTAGACCGTGTTTTGCACCTAGGACTGCTCCACAATAAACTACCTTCATAGAGCTTTCCACCTCAGCTATGACATATTTTAATCGAGGTTTCTTTCAGGCAGATCGCTTCCTGTGTTGGTGGATGGAGTATCGTCTGATACCATCTCCATCGATTCCGGCGTTCCACAAGGATCAATTTTGCACCAACATTGTTCCTACTTGATATCAACGATTTATTGGAAGCAACCAATTGTCCTATCCACAGCTTTCCAGACGATACTACTTTCCATACTGCGTTCTCTTTTAGAATTCACATTTCTTCCCAGGAAACTAAGAACTTACGACGATTGCAGGCCAACGCTGCCAATGAAGATCTTGCGGAAATTACAGCATGAGGAACCAACAACCTAGTATGAAAAACTCAAGCCTGTATTTTCTCTAGAAAGGCGGAACTCAGTATGCCTAATATAACAATGTCTGGTACCAGCAAAAGCTGCTTCACAAAAACTCGGATTTTTGTTCTGTACGAAAATCTACTTTACTCCCCAACAGCTTCTCACGATCTACAAAGCACCGATACGACCAGTTTTAGAATGTTGTTCTCATGCATGGGGTTTAGCACCCAAACATATGCTGATGCTCTTAGATTCCATCCAGAGGAGAGCCATTCGCCTGCTGGGTGATGCCAGACTCACTAACTCCTTGACCTCATTAAAACACCGTAGAAGAGTTGACGACCAACCACTTTTCTATAGATACTTCCGGAAATAATGTTCCTCAGAAATCTCTGCTACAATTCCATCACTCGCAATACCTATCAGACAAACTCGACAGGCCCAGTCAACATATCCTTTCGTCGTTAACCTTGAAATATGTCGAATAACACTCTACCTAAACTCGTTCGTCTACAAAACGGCGAAGCTTTGGAATTATTTGCCGATGGAAGTATTCCTAAGAACTTATGACCTCCAAAAGTTAGAAAAAAATTCCAACACATACCTCCTCTCCTTATCCCTTCTAGGTATGCACGATGTTTCTCAAACATTATAGGCGTTCCCTTTTGTGCACTCCAAGAGATAACAAAATGAATTCAATAAAATCTTGATATGCTATAAAACTGTGTTTCTGGAGTAATATGAGAGATAATGCGAGTTAATCCAAAAAAGGAATGTTGATGAAAGATATAAGGCTAAAGTTTCATTGCAATTCTAACTTGATAATGACACTTTTACACTCTACAGGGTATTTCAAATTTCATGAAAAAAACGCCATGATTGCTTCACCTGATGGTATTCATGAAAAAGAGGTTTTCATGCGATTACAGTTTGCAACGCCTATATACAGAAAGAGATAACATGTCATTAAAAACAGAAACCGTCCAAATCCAAGTAATTTTGACGAAAACGTATATCAAATTTTCTGAATCATTTTGGTGATGCGTCCATTTTTTGTCGAAGTTATATCGGATTCTGATCGATAGAGACGTATTTAAATACCATTGTTATCAAACCACCGCTGGTGAGCAGACTTAATAGTTGTATCAACCAAATACCAAATGACCAGTTGAATCGCATGACAACTAATGAACGAGATACCAACACCAATCACTACAAGCTACTTTGATGGAAAGTGTATTCAAAATTCGATTGGGAAAAGAACAAGCAATCCGAGGCTAGTTTGTCTATTCTGCTTTCCCTCCACACATCTTTTTCTGCTTCTATCCATCGGCCCCATTCCGCCCAACTGAATATTCCTAGAAATATTAAGTGCGTTTTTTTCTATTCGAACATCTATACTCAACATGGTGAATCATACCATAAGTGGTCTCCAACACGACCATTACAAACATAAACGTCAACTGAAACTATAGTGAAAATAGCAAGAGACACATTTTCTCTCCAAAAATGATAGTTTGAATCGAACGAAATTATCGATGAACCGATCGATACATTATCCTAATCGATATTCGATAATCCAAAATCGTTATCGCCCACCACTATTTATAACTCTATTTCTATCTACACTATTTCTAGGTTTTCATTTGCATCTAATTTTCTAACATTATTATTATAATCATTGACGACGTTATTGTTGAATGTTTCATTAAAAATAATACATATAGCTCACACAGCTTCACCGAATTTTTCAATTCTACCATATTTCGCATATACTTGG